CCAAACCTTCCCTTCCCAAACCTTCCCAAACCTTCTCAAACCTTCCCTTCCCAAACCTTCCCAAACCTTCCCAAACCTTCCCTTCCCACACCTTCCCAAACCTTCCCTTCCCAAACCTTCCCTTCCCAAACCTTCCCAAACCTTCCCTTCCCAAACCTTCCCAAACCTTCCCTTCCTAAACCTTCCCCAGCCTTCCCCAACCTTCTCAAACCTTCCCCGACCAAACCTTCCCCAACCTTCCCAAATCTTCCCTTCTTTCCTTCCCAAACTTTCCCTTCCCTTCCCCCTTTCCCCTTCTCCCTTTCCTGTCGAGTTGGACTTCCTCCTGTGCACACCCGGACACACCAGCTGATCAGACAGTGTGCAGCTGCACAGTCCAACTCCTTGCTTTGTTTGGGATTCCACCTGGAGGAAAATGATTTACTACGTGTCAGTTGCTTGGGTTTGAGTTGTTTAGTCCTACGGAGCTTTAGAATTGTGCCAGGGGAGGTTTAGGTTGGATATTAGAAAGAATTTCTTTACAGAGAGGGTGGTCAGACATTGGAATGGGCTGCCCAGGGAAGTAGTGGATTCTTCTTCCCTGGAGATTTTTAAAAAGAGATTGGATGTGGCACGTAGTGCCATGGTCTAGTAACTAGTTGGACTTGATGATATCGAAGGTCCCTTCCAACCCAGCTGATTCTATGATTCTGTGATTCTAATTGGTTTCTCCATGGGCAGCAAATGAAATGTTGTTGTTGGAAGGACGCTCATGTCCAGGAGTGCTCAGAGACGGCTGGAGTGTCACTTTGTTAGGGACATACTGGTGCAGAGAGAAATGGGAATAACTGTCCTTAGCATATTCTATGACAAACACTCAGGCATTTCCCAGGGAACCGAATCCTGCCCTTGCTGGGGCTTAGCCTTGACACTGCAATTTTTAACAACTTGATATTTCACTCAGCCTGAGGGGGAGGAAAGAAGGAAGCCATGAGACTGAGGGGAACACCAAGGATTGCCAGAAGTCTTCATGAGATGCTCTTGAAATAGAACAGTTTGTTTCTGACATGGTTTCTGCATCATCATGTCTATCACTCTAAAGTTTGGCAGGGATGTGTGAGCACATTCATGGATCCCAAAAGCCTTGTGAAGAGCAGTTTTCCACCACAGCGACATCCACTTTCCACAGGTACCTGTGGTCATAGACAAAAACTCCATTAGGATGGAGCCTGGGGGTACTGGTGTGGCTGTAAAAAAGGCTGTAATTTAGCAACATACCAGAAATTGATGCTCAGGTTTCCAGCACGGCTGTATTTTGCAAGGAAACCCCCAAATATGGTGAAACAGACGACTGGATAAGTGAATTTCAGTAGGCAAGGCTGACCACCCACCTTGAATTTCTTTCAACTTCTACTCAGCCAGCTGTGCAAAAATCACCCTTTACAATGACTTTCTTCCAGAAGTTTACCTGAGTCATTGAAATTTTTATGCAAGGTAAATTTATATGTATGTATGTATCTATGTATCTATCTATCTATCTATCTATCTATCCATCTATCTAAAATGCATTTGTCTCTTTTGACTCTCAGAGGGATAGCAAAGCCATAAATTTTGATAAAATTTAGAAGTCTAAAAAAACCCCAATCCAATCCCCAAACTATTGAAACCTGCCCTACAACCTTAAGCAGTTGTAAAGGGAGCCAAATTTAACAAAAATTTTAGGAATACAGAGCCAGCTGAGAAACATTTTAAAGTGAACTAAATAAAATCTTTTGTTTACTTAGATTGAACAGTAATCAAAAACTAGGTTTTACTACACCTCATCATATATACTAGTCATGTTAACATGAGGTAGAAGGATTAAAAGTATCAAAAATTTAATTTTTCTGGACCTTTCTTAGTGCACTTTTTTGTGTTTGTTTTTGTTTGTTGTTCAGTTTGTTTGTTTGTTTGGTTGGTTTGTTTTTTAAACTTAGGTATATATATTAGTAGCCATATTTCTTTTAATGCCTTAGACTATCTCCTTGGCAGTATTCCCACTTTTTCCTGAAGGGGAGTTGGGATATGCCTGGAGCACTGTTGCATTTTGACTGTGCTTAGGTAGGTTAATGATGCTACAAGATGGCACAAGTTGGAGGAATTGCATGTACCAGAGGCTGACACTTGAAATTTTGCTTCAGCAGGAAATGTCTGCATTTCAAAATCTTGTTTCTTTTGAAATGAGATGAAAAGAAGAACATCTAAAAAAATCCTTTTTATATGGAACAGCCCTAAAGGTGTTATCAAATTGGTTTATTTCTGTAAAATTGAAGTTTTCTGTTCCAGTTTAATATTTTAAGGGGGAAAAACCCCACTAAATTTGAAGGTGTGGGTTTTTTTTTTTTGTTCTTGTTTCTTTTTTGTATTGGAACAGCTTGTCAAATCACCTTTTTTACCTCCTCAATATACCTTTAAAACAAAATATATTCAACAAGATTGGCACATTCCTGTGGAGTTGGTTGAAGCTGGGATTTTTTTTGCTGGAGGACTTTCAGCAAAGCATAGTCATAAAACTGCTCGAATCCACCCAGACTGCAAATCTGGTCCCTGGTTGAGCCGACTTCAGGGGAGGCAGAATATGACATAAAGCTGTTTAAGTCTTTCCTCAATCCAACAATAATATTAATTACATTTTAGTTTTAATTCACTTGTATATAATTCTATTGAAGCCAAAAAAAAAACAACCTTCTGATTATCAAGTGCAGGAAATAATTTCACTAATGCAAACTGTTTTGATCTTTCATGCAGCCCTGTCTTGTGGCTATGGGTTCTTGGTAGTGAATATAACAGATTTTGTGATAGTATCACATTTATCACATTGTGCAATGAAATACTTTTCAAATGAGCAGTCCAAAATAGTTTTGTTCTTATTCATAAAATCTTTTTTTTTCTATTTAGCTCTATTCTAATCAAAATACAGGGCCTGATTTAAAGTCCACAGAACATTTTGTGACCCTTTCTGTGAATTTCATGGGTTTATCAGACCTCTAACCCTTCTATAAAAACCTGAACTCTGCTGTTGCTCACAAACTCAGCATGTTGCTCTGAAGCAATAAACAAACAAACTGCTGAAATCTGCAGATGAAATTCTGTTATCTGCAGGATGCCAGGTTAGATGCTAACACCCTCCTTTTTAATGAGAATGTCACAAAATTGGTCTAAATCCATGTCTACTGAATGAAATATTTTGGGTTTTGAAAGTTTGGAAAACATCAGAGCATGTTTTCTATTTAATTCCCTACTAATTCTTCTTCAGCTGCTTATCTGATTGCTTTGGAGAGAGAAAAATGCTTTTTACTGCCTAGCCCCTCAAAAATAGTCTTGGAAAAGCTCTCTGTAGAATATTAAGTCTTCTGAAGAGAAAATATTACTGCATGATACATATTTGGATGTATGCAGGAGTCGGCTTGTGCATCAGGAGCAGAGAGGGAATTTTTCTGTTTGATCCACTGAAAAACTGCTGTGGGTTTTGAACCAGTTGTGACTAATTAGAAGAGGGGTTGTAATGAAACTGGTGCCAACTCGGGCAGTGGCTCTGTGGTTTTTTGTAGTAGCGGGTTAAAAAGCACCCTGTAGCTAGAGGGATTTCCACTTCACAGCTACTGTTGTTGAGGTACGTGCCTATTCCATGCAGGTAATTTAAAACATCTAGACAGATGGACTAAGAAACAAGATACACTCATTTATCTATCCATTCCATCTCTATTCCAGTGCATACCTCATCACTTCCCTCAAAAAAATAGTTTTTACTGATAAATCTTCGTCAGGGCTTGTTTGGATTGGCTCTCTGAGCTGACAACCCTTGTCACCTTGTCACACTACTTGTTTTTACTTTCCTTTTCTTGGAGTCAGTTACAAATTTGCACAAGTTGAACAAGTACTTCTTTTGGCTGGTTTTGCATGACAACCTGTGAGCTATTGATAAACATGTTTAGTAGCTGAACTCCTTTCCCTTAAAGTCCTAATTTCATCTCTTTTTAGTAGTCTTTGGTCTGTGTGTCTTTACCTGCAGCTGGAAGAGGCAACATAATCTTCCTAAAAGCTGGTTATTTTTGCCTTGGGGAAAAAGAAAATACAAAATCCCCAAAGACACTTATTATTTAATGACAGAGCCTCCTGAAAGTTTATTATCGGAATATCATACTTTTAGCTAATGTTCTTTTATGTGGATCTTTGTGGCATGTGAGATCTTGAAAAAGTTAACAAAGTAGAAGTAGGGTCTGATAGAGATCTCTGCATATGTAAGAATTTGTGTGTGTCTTCTAGGTGAATTTGGAACAGATGTTACTCACTAAATTTATTACCTACCATAAATGACTTCCTGTGAGTCAGTAATTTGAAGGACTCTCAGGTGTGCACTGCTGCAAAAATACTACACTGCTGGTCAGAACTTGTTAGTCAGGGCACCCTCCTACAAATTATAGCCTACGTAGCCCCACCCAGGCTTTATAATTTATTTCTTTTAATGTACAGTTCTGTGCAAAAGCATACTACAGGCTTTGTCACACAAACTCAACTGCTATGTATGAAATTATAATTAATATTTATGGCACACTAGTCTATATGCCAGGTTATTTGTACATATTCTTTCCTCAGCTGTGTATGCAGTACAAGATATCTTTCTTGCCCATGCACATTTTAGGTGTAGTTTTCTGGTCCTATGTGTGGGTGCGGTTACTTAGCAAAATTACTGAGAATCAGAAACTATCAGAGCTCCATGGTAGCTTTGCCTGGTTATTCTTTTGCTTATTGAATTTCCACATATTTTTCACAATTTCTAAAGGATGGTATTCAATTCTCTGTTGTTTAGAGCTTCTACTTTTATGAAAACATGTTTTCTCAGTATGACTGGTGGTGCTGTTTGCTATAATTTGTGGATTCTGCAAGTGATGTTGTTAAACACTTGAAGTCATATTGCCAGTCTTGGACAGATTACCAAATTCTTGCTTTTCACAGAGATCTAGGGAAGCTCAAATAAAACTTTATTTTTCTGTGGTTTCGGGCAGCCTCTGTAAATATTTTCAATTTATTGGAGAAAGAAATTCTTCCTTTACAGGTATTGCATAAAATAACTCCCCAAAAGCGCAGGTGAGGGAAGCAAAAAAGATCACTTCTGTAGTCATCTAATACAGCTGTCATGGCACAAAATAAATGCCAGGTTTCACTGGGGCAACATAGAACAGCCAGGCAGAATTGAGGTTAAAACCAACCTTTATTTCATAGCACTGGAAGCACTGAGCTTAGTGCTGTACAAATGGAACACTGTGATTGAAATAGATAATGCTGAAGGTGATTTATTTTCTCTATTCTTCAGCTGGAGGTTTAGCAAAGATAAGACTCAGTAACACTTATAAGTTTAGCTGTGAATACAGCATGAGATATGAGGACATTAATTCTCAGTGGAGTTGGAGTGACCTTTTCAAAACCAAGTTGCTGTCAATTTCCACACACAGAACAGCCCAAGCCATGGAATCACAAGCCTTTCACCGTTCTCTGTGTCAGTTTAATGTGACTTAATACATTCTTTTCCAGAATGATCACCTGATGACTCTTACTCTAATGACTCAGTAGTCATAGAGGTTAAGTGATCTTCACAGGTAGGGGAATTACTTTGAAACAGTGAAGTACCTTGACTCAGGTTCTCATTGTTCTATATCTTATAAACAGTTTTAATGGGGAAGTTTTGCTTAAAAAAATGACCTCTGTCATATTCTGTAAATGTATTTTGGGGATCAGTCAATGCAGACAACATAGTAAGGCAGGAGTGCCATTAATTAGTTCGGATCGTCTTCTGGCAGATGTGGACAAAGCTCCATTGACTGCCCCAGTTTGTACCAGCAAAAAGTAATTTTGCATTGGAAAAATGATTATAAAGATAGACTCAGAAGAAAGAAATTCTCATGGAATAAGATTTCAGCTCAAGGTTTCCAATTTAGAGTCACTTGGACAAGCTTGAAACGTGGATTTTTTTTTTTTTACTAAGTCTGTTGTATTCTTTTTTAAAAAAAAAATTATTTCTTTACTTATTTATTTAATTTTGGTTTAATGGGCGTAGAGTCTATTGTCTGGAACAGAAGGCTTGCAGTAATGTTTGTGCTGAAAGGGCAAGCTTAAAAAGTGTCTATAGAGTTTGGGATCATGAATATTAGAGGAATTCATGAGGCTTTCTGCAGCTAAAATCTTGCCTTCTTAGATCTTCTTTCTTCCTCCTTTTCTGCTTAGACACCTAGAAAAAAAATCCGAGATGTTTGCGACCTGTGGGAGTGTGTAAATAACTTGGAGTGAGTGGTAACCAGAAGACAATTACTGGACTTTACTCATGTAACACTCTGAGCGGTGCTTGATTCTTGAATCTGTGATTTTTTTTTTTCATATTTGCTTCATAATGATTTAAAATTCCAAAGAGCAGTCACTTTGTAAAGCAATACTTTATTCACTGACCTAGGGTCCAAGTCTAATGAATAGAGGAATTGATGTAGTTTTTATGGTGTTCCTAGTAATCTGAGTTACTCTATGCTAAACAATAATGGAGATGCATAGGTATTGCCTGTATGTCCTATTTTATTTTAAACTTTACCTTGCTTAGCTTTGTCTAACTTTAGTTTTTGGTAAAGCTCAGCTGGTGTCTAAATCCATGGAAGTAGTTACAACAGGTTGGTCTAAAAAATTATTTTCATCTTGTCCATTTCTCATCTCTCCTGAATAGGACAACGTGACTTGGGTGTGGGTTTGAGGCCAAATACATATGACAATCAACAGCTCTAAATAATTATTGTGTTCAATATGCAGAAAGGCTTCAACTAGAAAGTCACACATCATGGCTGAGTTTAACTTTGTGTCAACAGAAGAGCACACTGAATTTAAAAAAATTGTTTAATTTTGAAGGCTTTTTTGGTTTTTTTTTTTTTTTTTTTCTCTGACAGGTTGCTTGTACTTCATGTGTGTACTGTAATGCACAACTATTGCTGTCACTCAGGGATTATGAAAAGCTCTCTTTTTTTTGCAGATCATCCGGTGAATGAATTTTTGGATCTGTTCAATCGCCATGTGCTCCCCCATGCAATAGATGAGACCCACATTGATGCAGAGTCAGCTCAGACCGAACCCTGTACCTCAGACTCTGTGCAGGATTCATCTGAATTTATAATATTGGATCCTTTCTTTCCAAACTATATAGAATTTGAGGAAGAGGAAGACTGTGAAAATACTACTGACGTTACAGCTCCTCCAGCTTTGCAGTTCATCAATGGGAAGGAGCAGGTTACCAGTGCTCCTAAGAGCACAAAGGCTGAGGAAGCTAGAAGTGACAAAATTGAAAGTGTTGCACATTCCAAAAATGTAACCTTTGCTCAAATCAATGAAACAAACACATTTATAATATCTGAATCTGAAGCTTCTGGTACTATGCAACCAAGCAAAGCTGGAGAAGTGACAGGGGTGCTTGAAGTTACTCAGCCAACAGCAGATGTTGCAATGTTAGAGCCTGTCTATAGTGGTGAGTCAGAAGTTGTCACAACAGATAAATCAATAGCCATTACTTCTTCACACAAGCAGTCTCTGCAAAACAATAAAGAGATCATAACATGGCATGGAAATGAGGAGAGCTCTACTAAGGGTGCCAAAAACTTGCTCTTGGATACTATTGAATCTTCTGGAGATGGCTCCATGGAGTCTGACCTATCCACTTCTGCCTTAGAAGTTGTGACAATGTCAAGAAAGGAAGATGATAAAAAAAATTCTGGTGTAACTTCTGTTCCTGATGCATTTACTGTGGAAAGTTCTGCTGTAACTACTTCTCTGGATGCAGTTTTTATTCCTGCTACAGCACATGAAAGTGTGACTGACCTTATTCCAGAAGAGGCAACCTCTGCTCCGGGAGGTCATTATAAATCAGCTGCTAAACTTAATGCAAATTCCCCTGTTGATAATATTCTGGAAACAAGTCCTACAGCAAAGCCTGAGATGAGTGCTGCTTCTTTTATGGTTCTGGAAGGCTCTGGGGATGAAAAAGAGGACATCACTGTAACAACAGGGGAAATAGCAGTAACAGAAACACTTTCAATGCAAGATATTTCTTTGGGCTCTGGCACAGTAATGCCAACAGAAGTTTCTGTAACTGCCTCAGGAATCACCTCTGCTTTGCCCAGGGGTATAACTCATTATTCTGCTTTTGATCAAAGTCCTGAAGCATCTGTTGCCACCAACTCTGTGTCTGAGTTTATTACGAAAAAAGTAGTTGCCAGCTCTCATGTAACTGAAAAGAAGATTGATGATGAAAAGGAAGTACAGACCACGGTTTACTCAGGTCACCAAAATTCAGCTACTGCTGCAGAGGGAAATTTGGAGTTAAATGAATCTGAGAGCACTACAAGTGAAGTCAGAACTGTAAATCAGGAGCCAAGCTTACCCAGTAAAAGAGTACCAGGTATCATAAGTTCTGAAACCAAAAAGGTCACCTCCATTCCTTTCTTGAGAGACAAGAAGCTTTTTATAAACGAAGGATCAGCAGAAGAACCAGCAGACTTATTTGCAGGGAGTCCCACAAGAAAAGTGGTAAGTACTGACTCCCCATTTTTTGGTCCAGGTTCTGGTGACATAGACCTTATCATTCAGTCTGCTACTTTGACTTCAGTTCCATTAAGGCCTGTCACCAAAACATACACTGAAAACCATGAAGGAAAAGTTTACAACACAGATGACACTTCCCCAAAGGATGCAACAACAGAATATGGGAAACATACAAGAATAGGTGAATTTGCAGTAACAGTTTCAAGTACTGGGTCAGATGGCTTGACAGAGGGGTCTGGAGGAGCAAGTGAGGCATCCTTGGATGTGTTAAGTACAAGAAAGCCAGGAGAACAAAACATGGGAACAGAACCAACCTACACAGCTCCTTCTTACATAAGATCTGGTTCTGTAAAGGAGGTAAGACCTCATACTGCACCAGGAATTAAAACAGAAGGTTCAGAATCAGGTGAAGTCATGCCATCTCCGGAATCCATGGTTCATAACAGCCCTCATGACAATGTGGTGACACGTGGTACTGGCAGTGGAAAAGCAGTAGCTGAATCTATAGAAAGCAAAAATGGAAGATTTGGTTCTTCCACTGCCTCACTGGGCAAGATTCTCTTGATTGAGCATGGCTCTGGAGAAGAATTCAAAGACGACAGTAGCACCACAAAACTGATGCTTAATGGACCTACTGAAGAAATACTTGGGGATCATTTCTCACTCACTAATCAGGGGTCTGGAGAACCAGACACATTCTTTGGATCATTTGCAAAAACAGAATTTTCACCTACTGGGAGCCCAGAAACATGGGAGAAGCATGACAATCACAATGTTGTCAGCACATCGTCTGTGAATCTTGCCTTCCCCACTAACCCCGATGAGCCAGTCACAAGTCCTGAACATGAGGAAACCACCATGGAAACTGTAACTGACCTGAGAATGGAAGAGAAAACCACTGATGAATTGACAGTGAGAACTTTTTCAATGAAGATTCCTTTGGTAAAAGATTTGTATTCTGGGGAAGACAGGCCAAGGGAAATTTTGCCAAAAGCTATGGAATCTTCTGAAGAAAAAGCAGCAACAGACCCATTCTTTAAAAGTACACAGGCTACCCATGAACATCAGGAATTTTCAAATGTTCCGATTGTCAGTCATTCAGAAGAAAATGAATTAGAAACCAAACCTGTTCAGAAAGTACTTTTGCCATTTAATGATGACAGAGTAACTGAACCTATAAGGATTGAAAGGAAATACATAAGCTCTCCAGTTACAGATACAGAACAAGAGAAGAAGTTGATACAAAACATTTTCCCTACAAAAGATATTCCCAGAACATTGCTGACATCTCAGGAAGAAAAACGATCAAATAATGAGTTCATTAGTGATCCATTATTTTCAGGACAGGGATCAGGAGATGACCTTGATGTAATTCCTTCTATAGTGCCATTGGTTGTTAAAGGAATCAAGAGTACTTTGAGTCCTCCAACTTCTCATCCTGCAAACATGAGACCTGAACTTTCAACTGTAAAGACACATGACTTTGAAAGAGGAAGCACCCAAGCAAATGCTGAAGTTAATGAAGAAGTTTCAAATGCTGTGACTGAGCTGCTCTCAGAAACTGAAGACCAATTCCCCACCTCTGTGTTCCCCAGTTTCCCAGCTTTAACGGAAGTCAGCTCCAAGAGCTTAATCTCCAAACAGATGGAAGAGATGACCCATTATTTTGTGGCAACTGAAGAACCTCAGAATCGGGAAACTAGTTATAGGAGAGAAGAAAATGAAACAGATAGGACAACAGCTACTTCTAAAGCTGTTTCACGAGAGGAAACTTCACATTTTGTGATTAAAGGTGGAGTAACTTCTGGGTCTGTTATACTGAATGGAACTCCCAATCCTAAAGCAGACGAGTGTCTTATAACATCAACAACAAAAATGCCAGGCAGAGTATTACCTGAAGGCTCTGGAGAAGGATCTGGCTGGGTTGCTGTTTTGGATTCATCTTCTCCTGACAGGTTTACTCATCTGTCAATACCCCCGGTATCAAAAGTAGAACTAAATGCTTCATCTAGTGCTTCTAGGCATATTTATTCCAAAGTTATGACTACAGAGGCACTGACAGATGGGTCACAGACTGTGATCACAGGACTAGCATCCCTTTTTACTGAAGAAACAGAGATTGTGTCAAGTCCATCTACTGTTCATCCAAAGGCAGCTACATCAGAAGAACTAACAAGTGACACGGGGATAGACGAGAAAATTATTCCCATGATTGATGACAAAAAAAGCACTTTATTGAACGTTTCTGTTTATGGTGACATCACTCTAATTGAAGAGAGATTTCAAATCCCATCAGAAGACACAACAATTATAGACATGGATCACTCAAAATCAATACCTGAAGATATAATAAGTGTGCAGACAATGCCAAATCCTGTTACACAGTCAACATATGGCAGTGATGATGATAGCATGACAGCTAAAGGAGAGAAATATGATTCAACACCCAAATTTTCCATAACCAAAAAGAAGACACTTGGATCTGGTGATAGTCTTTCTTTGATTACTTCCAGTCCACCAAGCAGAGAATCAGTAACAGCTGGGCACAGACCAAAACCAGATGATATGGATTTGGGTTCAGGGAATGCCATGAATGTTGCGACAGAAACTCTCACCACAACTGAACTCTCTGAACTGGGCATTTTCCTTCCTACAGTACCATCTCTGGGAATCCCTCAGGTACCCTATGAGTCTAAACATGTTGTAACCACCACCCCAGAAGACAACTATGAGCCAAATACTTCAGCAAACAACAGAGTAATAGCAGATCAAAGTGAAACAAGCTCTGTGTCTGACTTTTCTGGAATGGGCCAAGAAGAACCAACTGTTTATCAGCCTGTGGTTCCTTCTCTTACAACAGTTTTAGCAACTGAGCTAGAAAAACCTGTGACAACTGACTTGCTTGAGTTGAGTATTGTCACCACACAGCACGTATCCCAGGTCGTGACTGTATCACCCAGCAAAAATGTAAAAAATCACACTGTGGTATACGTAAACACAAAATCAGCATCAGCAGAGTATGAGGAAACAGCTTCTGAGAGTTTTCATTCTGTCCCTCAAACTCCTACATCCTCAGTAACTGTTCATTTAGCTAATGGAGTGTCTGAGTATCCTGAAGTAATCATTCCAAGTACATCATCATCATCAACAAAGGATTCAGATCAGCCCAATCATTCATCAGAAGGATCCTTTAAAGAGGTTAGTTCTGATATTGCAGCAACATATAAACCCCGTACTACAGACCTTCTTGACACAACAGAGTCTTCTCTGCTGGAGCTTTCTCCTGT